TTATTTTTGCATAAAATTGAATGGAAAAATAATGGATTTCTTTTTACTACACCTAATATATATAATTCAATATCTCTATTAAAAAATAAATTACTTGTGGTTAAACTGGTTACAATTATCTATTAACGAATTACATTTATTTATTACTTGATTTACGTTACACCATGATTCATACATTAACTAGGTCTTCGTAAAAATTGATTTAAACATCATTAGCCAAAGAATGTAGTAACATGAGAATGGACTTTGAATACTGGTTTGTGATTGGTCTCAGTGAACCATTTTTCTTCAGTAATTCAGAAAAAACAAATTGTGAACACGACATGTTTCTTGGTTCTATGTGACAAGAATACAAGAAGCAAAAAAACAAAAAGCAACAAGCAAGAAACAAGAAACAAAAAGCACATTGTAGAATAATCATAAAAATTTAGAGTAATAAGTACCAAAGTTGTGAAATAAAGTACCGATGATCGATAAATTTCACGACGTCAATAACGGTGATGTCGATAATTGTCAATGTCAAAATGACTTAAACCTAAATGTTTTAAAGCGAATGAGGTAAACAATAATAAGTAATAAGCAGCGTATTTGCATGTTCATTAAGAATATCCAACGGAGTTCTATTTACACTAGAGATACACGACATGACAATTACACATTAAAATTACAAAAGATGAGAGCTATATTGATATTTGACCATCTGAATGATGTGTTATTTGTAAAATGTAATAAAAAATTTGCAAGCCATATTTTGAAGCTGGCGAGGATGCAGGGACTGCTCGATGGTGATAAGGTAATTGATAACTTTCAGATAACAATGATGTAATGATTAATTTTGTGAGTTTTACAACCTCTTAGATCCGGTTGCACTAATGTTACTTTTACTTTAAACGAGACTTAAAACTCTATCTTGTTTTAAAGCCTAAAAAGAGACAGAGATATAAAGAGAGTTTTAAACCTTGCTTAAAATCAAATTAATATTGATGCAATCGAGCCTTACAACTGTATAGTTATTCTCTGAATATTTAAGAAAGGAATGAAAAGACTACGAAAAAATTATTTCAAGGTAGCAATGAAATATTCGTATGCAATAGAGTGTTAGTGTTAATTTTTTAAAGAATAACAATAAGTACTTCTTATAGGATATCACAGACTTAGAAAATTCTATACCAAGTCCCAACATCATAATGCAGTTGTTTTCACCCATAGTCACCTCACAACATGTGATGGCTTCACAGTTCGGAAATTCCTATACTTCCATGAAGTTCCAAGATGGAACTAACATGGTATTTGATGAGTACATTGGCTATACATTCATGTATATTGCTGCAAAAGATGTAGAGCTCATGAGACATACGCTAGGAGTATGCGTATCTATTGTACAACACGTGTGTGGTCCAGATATTGCAATGTTAGTATACAGCTAGTAGATTAATTGATAGAATGCAATAGACAAGGCTGAGCATGTATTTGAAATATTTTTTTTTTATTTGAAAAACAGTATTTGTAACTAATTATATTTTGTTTCAGCAAAACATAAAAGTATTTTATATTTTGTATTTCATTGCGCATAAAAGTATATTTTATATTCTTATATTTTTATATTTTATACTTCAGATACTAAGATTGGCAATTAATCTTATTATATAAATTACAAATATTTTTATATTTAATACAAAAATTTCAAATACATATCCTTGACAGTAGATAAATGAAATAAAAAAATATATAAAATGTTTAATTGCTTGATATAACTTAATATAATAGATTGCATTAAAAAAATTTTTTTTAATCTTCCTTTAAGATTATAAAATTTAGCAAATTTCTACTTGTCAAGAATTGTAGTGTTCTATATGTTGTGAGACTAGATAATGATCATTAATAAAATAGCTACAATGATAGTTACAATGACTGACTAATTGTTTTGATCTTTATAGATTAAAGACCAACTGGCAGAAGATGTGTTTAGTATCTTCTCTGTTGGATGCGTGGTCTAATCTAAGAAATTGTGAACAAAGCATGTTGACCGAAGCAGTGGAACAGTTGTCTGTGAATGCAGAAGTAGCATCTTCGGTCCTCAAGGTGTTGCATGATGCCTGCGACAAGCTGAAAAATTCACAGTCTGAATTTAGCAATCTGCATTTGCTGCTCCTAGTGGGGTCAAAGTTTCTCTCATTGTATTCCAGCAAGAATGCTCATGATTTATATGCTTCGGACATTTTGTTGATGATCCTGCTATGCTGGATAGTGAATAAAAAGCGAAAGCAAAATCAGTCGGAAAGCAACGATAATTGCTGTGATGATATTTTGTTACCAGAGAGCAGCGTTTTGAAAAGCGATGAAACGAAATTAAACTTCGGAGCTAAACTGGCCACTCCTACTTCAGAGGACATAACGGATCTCTTTAGTAGGTTTTTGCAGCACAGTTATTTTTGGTAATGGATATATATTTTTGTTTGGATATATATTGTTGTTTATAATGAAAATTTTTTAGTGAATGAAAAGGATGAACTTTTAATTTAAATAGATTATACTTAGCTTTTATTTGTTGTAGGAGGTTCCAGGGAATCTTCTGTGAACGAAGGTCTCTCATCCTTAACTGACGATGATCTCTACAGCCAATCGTTTCTCCTCGGCTGCCAGCATAACTATACAGCCAATGCAGTTCATGTCTTCGAATTATCAGATTCCATTAACTTGATAACAATCGTTGAAGCTACAAATCTGTCCATTTCTTCAGGTTTATGCGACAGTTTCCATTATTTAAATCTAATAAACAATCTGCAGTTTCAACGAGACATCGATGAGATGAAACCAGCCTTTGAGCATCTCGATGTAGCGATAAAAAAAGTGCTAGAAGGAATTAAAAAGAATCGTTCGAATGTCGGAAATGATGTCGATATGTGTCAGAAAAGATTGCAAACCAAATGGGATTTTGTCCGAAAAAAGTATAGTGATCTTCTGCGCTCCAGAGATCCCGAAGTGGTCCTACAGATTGAAGCTAATACTTCTGGCTTTGTAGAGACTTTGAAAGAACTATTGCGTTTGACTTGTTTTGACAAGAATTTTCTGAAGCAAGGAATTGATGTTTTGACAACGGTTGGCAGACTTGTGAGACAAAAGCTAAATGATTTTAGTGACTTCCTGAAAGTCAAAGCTCTAAAAAACTTCACGCTAGGATCATATCCTTTTCTAAACTTTAAGAGACACGATTGACTTTTCTTTCCTGATCAATTTTTTTAATGTTTCATAAAGTTTATATTCCTTAAATCTAAAATTTTTTTTAGGTTATTTATAAAATGATTTAATATAAAGTTTTTATATAAAAGAATCGTATTATAACAATAAAAGAATGATATTAATATACAAAATTTTAATTATATAATTTTTTCTTTAAAAAAATTTAAATTAAAAAAAATTACTTAAATTTTTACATATAAATTAGAACATTATTGCATGTGTAATTTTTTATTTTGTATATCTCCTTAATGTTATACGTTTTTCCACAAGAACTTCCCTAACTATCAACAAATATCTTGAGGAGTTTCCAGGTCTAGTGCATTTCATCTATATTGACAGAAATACCCATAGACTTGTGGCGCCTACGCTTGACTTTACTAGCACGGAAACGCTCGCTCTCACAATGAAAAAAGTAAGTTCTATCGAGATAATAAATTAATCAAGATAAAATTAATTATTAATATCAAAAATTTTTAATTTTAATTCTGTTTTTAATTTTTTAACTTTATACATATAAGTAGTATATAACATAAGTATGTAACATTCACGCATTGATTCAAAGATGTAACTACAAATAGCTCCTGACAGAATTATAAATAAGTTTATACAGAAATATTTCTTATTTTTATATAGATTTGGAACATGGTTGAGCAAAGTAGAATGCATTTACAAGAGGGTCATCTGTCAGTTATGTGGAAAGACACTACATTCAATTACTCTTACTTTTTATGGTTTGAAGATAATTCTGTATGTGCAGTTTTATTAAATTATTTATTATATTAAAATATATTAAAATATAT